ACCTCACTCCGGCCCCGCCCCCGGCTCGGTACCGCTCGCTATCTGTCACTTTCTCTTTTCTTTTCTTCTCCAACAAAACTTCCCGCTGACGTTTCTGTTTACCAGTGCTCAGGAGAGGCGGGGCGCGCATGTGCGTGGTGACGTCGCAAGGCGCAGCGCGGCGCACCACGGGAAATGTAGTTAGGGAGGTTTTGTTAGTGGTGGGTGGTGCGCGGGGCGGGGACTACGATTCCCAGGAGGCGCTGGGCAGCCATCTTCAGTGAGGGCGGGGACCTCTCTTCCCATGATGCAGTGCGGTGAGCTGATCTGTGACCGGTGTTCCATCGCAAAAGCCAATTTGTGACATAACACGGGGCTCTGGAGCTGGCAAGTGGTCGCTGGCAAGGTGGCAGCGGAGAATGCTGAATGACCGCAGGCCGCAAATAGTCTCTGGGAAGATGGCGGCGATAGAGATGACCTCAGGCTCCGGGGGAAGGTGGCTGCGCCGTAAGAGGTCAGTGACTGAACCGGAAGTAGTCTCCGGGAAGATGGCCGCAACAGACTGCCAATCATCTCAGGGAAAATGGCTTAACCGGACGTCTGTAGCTAGCTGTATTCTATCGAAAGTTCCAACTCCTCGAGTTTTCCAACCATCTGATTTCCAGTTTAGTTAGAAGAGGTGTAGCCAAGAAGGCTGTACAGCACGTGCGCCACCACCGGTGATCTTCGGCAAGATGGCGACGGGAGATCACGGGAGCGGAGAACGGTGTTCTATCGAAAGTTCCAACTTATCGAGTTCTCCAACTGCCTGACTTCCGGTTTAGTTAGAACTAAGAGGTTTGGGCAAGAAAGTTCTTCTGCACGAGCGCCAGCCGCGACAATGACCTATACACATACACCACAGCAATGAGGTAATAAAATGAACTAGGATCACACTCATCCAGCACGTTATTCTGAGTTGCCCCACTGAAGCGGTGGCCATATTGAGTGGGGCACGTGAGATTAATAACGTGCTGGATGAGTGTGATCCTAGTTCATTTTATTACCTCATTGCTGTGCTGTATGTGTATAGGTCATTGCTGTGCTGTATGTGTATAGGTCATTGCTGTGCTGTATGTGTATAGGTCATTGCTGTGCTGTATGTGTATAGGGCAATGCCGCGGCCGGCGCTCGTGCAGAAGAACTTTCCTTGCCCAAACCTCTTAGTTCCAACTAAACCGGAAGTCAGGCAGTTGGAGAACTCGATAAGTTGGAACTTTCGATAGAACACCAGTGTTCTATCGAAAGTTCCACTTTCCTCGAGATCTCCAACCATCTGTCTTCCGGTTCAGTAAGAGGTTTGGCCGAGAAGGCTGTACAGGACGTGCGTCGCCACCGGTGTTCTCACCTATAGTGATCTTCGGCAAGATGGCGACGACGGGTGATCACAAGAGCGGAGAACGGCTACCATGGCAGGCGAGGGTGTCGCTGGCACCCAGGGGGCCGCGCTCGCATGTCGCTGGCACCCCGGGGCCCGCATGTCGCTGGCACCCAGGGGACCGCGCTCGCATGTCGCTGGCACCCAGGGGGCCGTGCTCGCATGTCGCTGGCACCCAGGGGGCCGCGCACAAACAACAGAAAACACCAGGCGGCTGCGTCTGCAAAGATTTATTGAATATCTTGTGTACATGAGATGCAGCAAACGTTGTCCTGATGTCCTCACTTCCTGCAACTGGCCCTTTAAGGAGAGTTTGTGAGCAGGTGACGTAAGATGGCAGTTCAGGGAGGACACCTTTCGTCGCTGGGGTCACATATGTCTGACACAGATCAGCCCCTGCTGCAGACTCATCTTGTGACTGGATACAAAGGTACACTGATCGGTGGGGGAGGGGAGACCCGGCCTGCAGCAGAGTGATGACATCATTGACCAGAGCTCAGAGACCGATGAAAGGGGAAGACGGAGAGTTACTGGCAGGGCTACCACCCCCCCCCCCACCCGCCCCCCC